ATTCAATTTGTGGTAATAAATAATAAATGCTTTGGCTCGCTCGGATTTATTCCAGTTGAAAATCTAAAAAAGCATTTATAAATAATAAATTCGCCCGGATTTTTGAAAAAAATGCCTGTAAAACAGACTATTTATTTTGTATGGTCTAAGTTGAATTATTGTTCTTTTAGGACTCCATGGATTTCAAACACTGGAAAGAACCAGCTTTATTAGTCAAATGTTTACTGACATTTTTCAAGTAAGTATTGAAGTAGATATAACAAAAAACACAAGTGGTATATTCTGGTATAACTCACTTCTTTAATAACAAAGCACATAACGTTTCAACACAATTTACACGTGTCGTCATTAAAGAAGTGAGTTATACCATAATATACCCCTTGTGTTTTTTGTTTTATCTACTCTCCACTTCACAAAGGTTGATTATATGTATATTTACTGGTCTAGTTTATCGAGAAACTCACCCAAAACAAGCTTAGCTTTATTATCAACTTTATCACCACAACTGTGTGAAATATGACCAAAAATGTAACTTTAATTTATATAGTTATTAAAGATGGGTTTCCTTTTTTTTAAGTGTCAAATTAAGCAAACTATTCGATTGATTGGTGTTTCTTATGAATTATTATATATTCTTAATCATATCATTATGTTCTTGTTGCATATAATTAATAGTTTTAACTAATCATAAATGTCCATGTATGTACAGTCTGGATAAACAAAAAAAGACTTTTTGACCTTTCTTGATCGGTCACTCATTGGAATTCTGCTGGTAATTCTCTTCTTATTTAGCTAATTATGAATTAATAATGGACATGTGAGGCAAACTGGTATTTTTCCAAGTCATTAGAACACCTCTACTTTCTATTCTATTCTATTTAAGTATTAGCATTTTCATTTTCATAAATTGAAAATAAGGGAACCCATCTTTAAAGTTTCCATCCATCTACTTGCATCTTTTCTAGTTGTTATGGCTGTAGAATATTGACAAATGCAGAAGTTATAAAAAACTTTCTGACTTTACAATCAGGGGTCAACAAAATGTCTTAACTTATATGTCCATATATCTTTACTTCCTTTACCTATGACTATTTCTTACATACAGATTCTTTCTAATATCTTTTTCCTTGACTTTATCTACTCTACCTTCCTGTGGCTAATATTTGTGTTTAATAGTGACCATTGGTTAAATAAGAATGCATCCCACACTTTATCAAGTTTGAAAAAGCGACAATAAAACTATAATCAGAATTTTTTAAAAGTGAGCAAGCGATGAAACCGTTTAGTTTGAGCAAAAAAGAGTCTGGGTAATCAACGCTAAAACAGGAAACAATCATCTTCCTGTGTATACAAACAACTTTGCCATGATTAATATTCGTTGAAAATTGTGTTAGTGGTGCAGTATTCATTCTAAATTCATTCGCGGAGTCGCTTAATCTCCTACGAGGCATTATTATTCCGTCTTCAAACTATGTCTGACAATGTCAAGGTCATTTCAAGAGTAGAGGTCAAGGACGCGGGAAACCCCACTTGAGAGTTACTTCCCCTTGTGATTACCTAGACTCACGATTTGAAAATTGCTTAATGGATGTATTAAGCATTTTATAATTAATTACTTGATTTTGTGGATATATCAGATTATAGAGGGACTTGATGTATAATTAGGACACCAGGTAAGTCCATTGATGGATATATACTGTTATTGGCCAAATTTTAACAAAATTAAAAGACGTAGTATCCCTTTAAGTTGCAAAGCTTGAGAATAAATGTTTATATTTTAGATATAATACCAATGAAATAGAGTTACTATTCAACATTCTTAGATGTTTCACACATCGCTATATACCACAGTTTCAATTTGTTAAAGATTTCCTTGATAAGACTGTTACAGTAAGTAGTGTTCTATATCTTTCTGTTAGCTTATTTCCTTCATTTTGAGGGAGCTGCGGTGGCTCAGTGAGTTAGACGCTTGCTGGCTAACTTGAAGGTCCGGAGTTCAATCCCGGCATAGGTCGAGATAATACCTTCGGATTTTTCAACCCGGTTTCCCCCTGTCAGTGATGCAGGTAAGAGAGGCTGACATGGAAAAAGCGTCTAGTCGTTCGGATGGGACAATAAACCGAGGCCCTGTGTACTACAGGCTGTGCACGTTAAAGATCCTCGACAGTTGGAAATCGAAAAAGAGCAGGCTAATGCCGCTGTCCTGACAAAATTTCTCTCATTGCGTTTTGAGCCTCGCATTTGGTGTGTTCAAAACCAGACATGAATAAAGTATCTAACTGCAAGGAAGTATTTTATGGATTTGTTGGAACTTTTTTATTATTAACGATGGCATATTTTATTATTGTAAGTTCGGCGTATAACTGAAATTGAGATGTATTTACAAGTATTCAGACAGCAATTATATCACTTTCTTTATCAATAACTTTGCTGCTATGTTTTATACGCCCACATTATAGTGTGGTCGTATATTGTCGTCGCCCCTGTCCGTCTACAATTGGCTTGTGAACGCAATAGAGACAACAGTTTTTATCTGATTTGAATGAAATTCGGTGTGATCATTTACATTCATGAGATCTTGGACAAGTTTGAATTTGACGATCTTTTGATGAACGGTTTTTGAGTTATTGCCCTTGATTTATGAAAAACGCATCAAAATTTGTTTGTGAACACAATAGAGACTACAGTTTTCATCCTATTTGAATGAAATTTGGTATGATCATTTATAATGATGAGATCTTAGTCAA